TAGCGACGGTTTTCTATATTTGGGTGTTAGGCGAGGGTTTTTGATCCGGTTGGCCGGGTTTTCCCTCGAGCCTGTTGTTGTTTTGAGTCCCTCTGGTAGATCAGGGGTATCCATGCCCCACGTTAGGTTTGCCATTCGCGTGCAAACCGGGGAGGGTGTTCGTGTGTTTGGATACGGACTGGTTAGATCTACCGGCAACAACAGAGGGCACGCAGATGGGGCATACGTACACTTGAAATTGCTGCATGTACGGGGACCCCTCGAACTCCAACAAGAGGGCTTCACTTCTCTCTACTCCCCTTGCGTGTCTAAATACAAGAGATAAAACGTCTTCCCCTTCCAAGTAAAGGACATATACGAACAAGCTCATGGGCAGCCCACCATGGGCGGATGATGCCAGCCGATCGTGGTCACCTCATGGGCAGCTTACCATGGGCAGCCCATCGTGGGCAGGTCACGAGCAGCCCACCATGGATGGGCGCTATGCGGCCAGTATGTTCTGGGCAGACCCACCTGTTGTAGTATGTAGCCATTCGGCTACCCCTGTGCGGACCTTGCGGGCAAATAGACCCTGTACCGATGCTGTGTTTCCCTGGGGGGGTAATCGGTCCCCAGAAGGTTCACGGGCAGGAACCCTGTCATCATGCATGATGGTGTAGACGCAGCCAGGGTTGTATCAGTCGTTCCCCCGCTGATACATGTGAGGTCTTGCAAGGTGTGTTTAGCCTAGAGGATACTGCCCCAGCAGCCCAGTATTCTCTACCGATGGTCCAGCAGTCACACGATGGACACGATTACTTTTTGGATGAGAAAAAATTGCGACACGTGCTCGCCGCTGTGTGTTGATCTAGACTATGTTAATTTGCTGTCGACAGACCACACACCCATCATGTAGTCTATCATCGTGATAATCATATGTTCAGCCTTGGTGACGCCCTTCCACATCCGCTTTCGCAGTATTCATCGAAGTACGGGAAGTTCGACCCACTCGCTTGCAGGCAGCACTGTTCATGGCAGAAGCTCGCTTGTGCGGCTAGGCGTCACAGCTGTAGTGCGGCATGTTACATGTAGTGGTGCGTGAAAGGTTATACTACTCGGGGTGCAGCAATCCCGTCCTGGGCGTTACTTGGGGCACTGGGTAGTCGGCCGTGCTAGGCTGAGAAAGAGAGGTGGAGAGACAGGTGGAGAGAGAGTGGGAGAAGGAAACTTGATTGGAGAGAGACGGCGGTGGCAGTGGGGGAGAGAAAGAAGAAGTGCGCGGCACGCACGCAAGCCTCATCATACCAACCGCGCCAAAAGGGTCCCCGTGACTGCCCCGGCGGTACCCTACAACACACGAAATCCCCAACACGTATCCCCTTGAGATCCTCACGACCAGATACTGCTGCGAGTATATCTAACATCCCCCCTGCTCGCAACAGTTTCTCACTGAAAACTTCGCGAACACCCGATAGCTCAACGAAAAGACGTGATACCCAGAACACAAGTCGTCAAGAAATATAAGACTACCCAGAAACTTGAACGGCACGGCTATTTGGGACAACGTTGTCCCAAATTCTTATTTGGGACAACACGTCTAACTCGGCGTAGAAAGCGTGGATCGACCTCAAACCAAGTTTGTTGTAATCTTACTGGACACAGCTTTTACGGAATGTATTTTGAGTCCACAACGGAGCCGGGGCCGAGGAGATAGAGCCTAAAAAAGGGGCTCCTGAGCCCCTTTTTTAGGCTCTATCTCCTCGGCCCCGGCTCCGTTGTGAACTCAAAATACATTCCGTGAAACCTGTGTCCAGTAGGATTACAACAAACTTGGTTTGAGGTCGATCCGCGCTTTCTACGCCGAGTTAGACGTGTTGTTCCAAATAAAATTTGGGACAACGTTGTCCCAAATAACCGTGCCGAAACTTGAATGCTGCATCGCGCACAATTTATGCCTCATGCGCGGGAAATAAAACAAAACCAATAGAAACTCATCAGAAAAGCAGTCAACACTCATGTCAAATTCATCACAAAATCACGGTGAGACTCGAAACCATCCATCCTTCGACAAACTCTTCGTAAGAAAGTCTGCACGCCGGTACGGCGACGGCACGTGGATGACCGAAGTTTCCTTCCACTCTACCAGTTCCCTGAGAAAATGGTGCCTAACATCTATTATGTGCTTCGAGTTCGAGTTTGAGATGGGGTTCTGCGCTAGTTGAATCGCCCCCTGGTTGTCCTCGAAGACGGGGATGCAAGTTCCCTGAGAAAATAGTGCCTTACATCTATGTGCTTCTAGTTCGAGTTTGAGATGGGGTTCTGCGCTAGTTGAATCGCCCCCTGGTTGTCCTCGAAGACGGGGATGCAAGTTCCCTGAGAAAATAGTGCCTTACATCTATGTGCTTCTAGTTCGAGTTTGAGATGGGGTTCTGCGCTAGTTGAATCGCCCCCTGGTTGTCCTCGAAGACGGGGATGCAAGTTCCCTGAGAAAATAGTGCCTTACATCTATGTGCTTCTAGTTCGAGTTTGAGATGGGGTTCTGCGCTAGTTGAATCGCCCCCTGATTGTCCTCGAAGACCGGGATGCACGGCATGCCGAGCTGCGGCAACATGAAACGCCAAATCTGCCTCAAAAACAAGATCTCCTTCACTACGCCACCAAGCGCGACGTACTCTGCTTCAGTCGTCGAAAGCGTAATACACTTCGGCGTTCTGGAAAACCAAGACACGGCGCCTCCTCCACACGTGACGATCTNGAGATGGGGTTCTGCGCTAGTTGAATCGCCCCCTGATTGTCCTCGAAGACCGGGATGCACGGCATGCCGAGCTGCGGCAACATGAAACGCCAAATCTGCCTCAAAAACAAGATCTCCTTCACTACGCCACCAAGCGCGACGTACTCTGCTTCAGTCGTCGAAAGCGTAATACACTTCGGCGTTCTGGAAAACCAAGACACGGCGCCTCCTCCACACGTGACGATCTCCCCTGATACCGACCTACAGTCTGCTGCCTTGCTTGCAAAGTCCGCATCAGCGTATCCCTGCAATCTGAAACCCTCTACCGTACCTCTCTGAAATGAAATACCGAAGTGACTCGTCCTCCTCGCATACCCTAAACTACCTATCGCTGCATCCCAGTGGACCTGCTTTGGAGATGAGCAATACCCAGCTACTGCCCATACTGCATTTGCAATGTCTGGTCTGAGTCGCCAGCCACATCAAAGATCCGACTAGTTCACGAAACGGAAAGTCTGTCGCCACCTCATCCGCATCAAAATCAGAAAGCTTCACCCCCGAAGACATCGGAACTTTCTTACCTCCCACTACTCCATACTCTGTTGCTAGCTCATCCGTGAAAGTCTGCTGAGAAATCGTNCATTCGCAATGTCTGGTCTAGTCTGAGTCGCCAGCCACATCAACGATCCTACCAGCTCACGAAACGGAAACTCTGTCGCCACCTCATCCGCATCAAAATCAGAAAGCTTCACCCCCGAAGACATCGGAACTTTCTTACCTCCCACTACTCCATACTCTGTTGCTAGCTCATCCGTGAAAGTCTGCTGAGAAATCGTCCACCTACCGGTCTCCTTGTTCCTCTCGTAAAAGCACCCAGAATACCATCTCAACTCTCCCAGGTTCTTCACTGGCACGGACTTGTTATGGTCGGCGCTAAACTTGTCAAATCTCTCCACAGCAAAAATGTCATCTACATGTACTACCAAAATCAAAACAACACATCCATCCTCAATCAAACGAAACACACAAGCATCGGCCATGCACTGCTCAAATCCTAACGCCACCAAACACCTCTTCAGCATTGCATGCCACTGTCTAGATGCCTGTCTCAAGCCACACAGACTCTTGCCTAGTTTTACAATTATTCCAGACAGAGCTCCACATCCCTGCGGCAAACGCATGTACACGCCTANGCCTAGATGCCTGTCTTAAGCCATACAGACTCTTGCCTAGTTTTACAATCATTCCTGATAGAGCTCCACATCCCTGCGGCAAACGCATGTACACGTCTTCCTCCAACTCCGAACGCACAAAAGCTTGCTCAACATCGAAATGACACAAGTCGAGGTTCAACTCGCACGCCAAAGCAGCCAACATTCTAACACACGAAACAGAAACGGTAGGCGCGTACAACTCTCCAAAGTCAATGTACTATGTCTACATAACACCTCTCGCTACAAGTCTCAGCTTAATCTTAGTGGGCCATCCAAACTCATCTGCCTTCCAATCGAATACCCACTTAGCGTTAATTGCGTTCTCCACTAATTGCTACTTCGCTGGAAGTAAAGGTCCCCGCTCCAACAAGCCAAAAAACTCCCTTTGCATAGAGTCGCTCCACAGGTGCCGGTGCTCCGACGCCATGGCCTCTTTGTAACTCTTTGGAACATGAAGGTCGCTGGCCTGGCAGTGCGGAAGGTCAGGGCGTTGCTCCGGCGGGCGCTGGTCTCGCAGCGTGGCGTCCATGTCTTCTCGGTTGGCGAGGAGCGTGGCAAATGCGAGTGGAAAGCCTGCTCCTCCAGCCCCCGGGTCCACCGCTGCGAGTGCTCCCGCCTGCTCTTCGGCCCCCGCTCCCCCCGGATCTCCGGCCTCCGCCCCCCCCAGCTCCCTGCGCTCCTTATCCACCGCACTCCGAGCCTCCAGCATCGACACCAGACTATTCTTGTCTAGCATCGAGATGAGTCCTGTGCTGTGCTTTGTGCCCGATCTCGAACGGCTTGGCAGCCGCGGGTCTGTCATACCCTCGGCCTTTGTACCCGGGCGAAGCTGCCGCATGGCGTGAGCCGTAAGCGGGGGTATTGCGGGGTCCGGCGGCGACGGCGGCTGGTCTGGATCGTGGGTCGCCGACGGTGACGGCGAAGCGGCAGAGGACGGCTAGCCAGGAGCGGGGGTCCCTTCGGTGACGGAGAAGTGGCAGAGGGCGGCTGCGAAGGCGTGGGAGCGGGCGGCGGCGTGGTCGCTGGCGGCGGCGTTGCGGCAGGGGGCGAAGCGACAGCGGCAGCGGGAGCGGGCGACGGCGTGGGCGCTGGCGGTGGCGGTGCGGCGGTCGGAGGCGTCGGTGCTGGGCCAAAGTTGATCGAGACGACCGGCGGCGTGAACGGGGGAGGTGTCGGCGCAGCGGTGATACCAGCGGAACCCCCCTCGCCGGCTGGCGCCGACGTCACCCACGACACGTTGTTGGTGTAGACGACGCGGCCGGTGGACGCCTTGAGGACCTTGACGGTGCCGCTCGGGTGGTTGTCGCCGCCGTTCAGGTAGTAACAGAGGGTGGCCTGGTCGTCGAGCTTGGTGCGGCGATCCTCACGCATGAAGCCGGGCTGGAAGAACGGCAGCACGCGGAACGGTCCCTGCTCGCCGGTGAACATCTCGTGCGGCTAGCGCCGCCCGGGGTTGGCCTTGGTCGCCGACTGGTTGAGAGCGTCGGCGGCCCATTCGGCGGCCCATTTCGCCGATTCCATCCAAAGACGGTCACCGCGCTCGTTGAGGCCGAGGATGGAGGCGAAGTCGACGTTGAACACACGGCCAGCGCTGCGGCGGGCGGCCATGCCGGCCTTCATGATGCGCTAGATGGCGTTCTCGACGACGCCGTTGTACTGCGGGACGCCAGGCGGGGTGAACTCGACACCGGTGCCGTTGTCGTCGCAGAAGCGCCGGAAGTCGCCGCGGGTCCATTTGGTGCCGTTATCGACGCGGAAACACTCGATGCACCCGAGGTCGTACCGCCCCACGTCCGCCAGCAGCCTTTTCGTTGCCGCCAGCGCGTCGGACTTCCGCCGGAGACCGTAGATCTTGTTCTACCGCGCGGCGCTGTCCACGGCGACGAACAGGTAAAGGGTGCCGCCCACGGAAGGCACCAGCGGTCCACACAGGTCCAGGTGAACACGCCCGAGGGGCTTAGACGCCCGCGCTCCCGGCCCCCGCGGAACCGACCCTCGCCTGCCCTTCGCCCGCATCCAGTCCGTGCACGGTTCCAGCTTGAACGTGAGCACGATGCCTCTCTGCTGGGCAGTTTCTGTCAACGGAGGCTCGCAAGCATGGGCAAGGGAGCGGTGGAAGGGGTTAATGTCAACGGACTTTTCCGTCGAACCAAGAGCAAACGGGGACGCACCAGGGCCAAGCGCGGCCGCACCCAAGTCAAAATCAGCACCCCCCTCAATGCTATCCAAAACATCAGTCACATTCGCAGCGTCACTCTCTGGGATAAACACGGGGAAAAAATCTTGATACGGGGTGTTATCATAGCCATCCATGAGCTACTCGTCGGTGAGCACACTCGTATCTCCAAGATCCATACCCGGAAAAGTACCCACAAACACAAACTCGAACGCCGAGGAAGGTACTACGTCGGCAGAGCCGGCGGGCGGGACGCTCTCACTCGCAGGTACTACACTGGTGGGACCAGTGGGCGGGACGCTATCAGCCGAAGGTACTACGCTAGCAAAGCCAGCGGGAGGAACACGCAACACGGACTCCAATGATTCCGTGGAGCCCCCTTCTTGGGAAGGGGAACGCGCGGAGCCAACGGCGGGGGCGGAATCTGGGGCAGTAACGAATGCGGGCAATGCAGCAGAGCCTACTATAGTCGCAGACGGATCGTACGGCAACCGCATGGCATACGCTGCTGACGCTTTTCCTCGCTAGCAAAGAGCAGTCCATTTTGTAGGGTTGCACAACGCTTGTCGTGGAGGATTTGTTGCTTCAGAGAACCAGCATGCGTTGAAAACAAGTTGAAGCTCAGGCTCTCTACTACAGACACGTCAGTGAGCTTCACACGCATTGTCGATATTTCACCATTCTTATCCTCCTGAAATAAACTAAGATTGATGCTTCCGATAGCTTGCACTTCGAGCAGTGGACCATCACTTACAACGACATACCTACTGGCGGGGATCTCTTGCAGGTCGTACATGTGCAGGCTGCTGTTGGTAAAACTGTTGCTGGCTCCTGAGTCAGCTACCCACCTCTCGCTACCAGGCGGTCCGCCACTAGATTCCACACTCAGCAATGACGATGCAGACGCAGCCGACTCTACTCCAATCGTCACTCCCATCCCACCAAAGAAATCTTCGGGGTGAGACTTGCCTAGGGGCACCGATTGCGCCTTGCAGAGGTGGAGGTAGCCCGAAGATGGAGGCGCGCCAGGAGAAGGAGTAGAGGACGAGGAGGAAGCGGTGCTGCTGCTGCTCGCGGGGGGGGGCTGACGTGGCTGCTCGGATAACGAATCTTCGCCAGTGGGAGGGTAGTAGACGTAGTGGATGCCGCCGTCAGATGAACGGCTGTCTTCGTACCCTGAGGAGTAGTTGTAGCTGTCCCAACCGCCGGCGTAGTGAGCGTACCCGGCGTCGTGGTAGCCGTCGTCGTAGAAGTATCCGTCGTCGTAGTCGCCGTAGTCTTCGTAGTAGCCACCATCATCGTGGGCGTAGTACACAACGTACGCCTGCTCTCTTCCGTGGCCAGAACGCCCGTGCCCCGGGCCTCTCCCCGCCCGCTCTCTCTCCGCACGACCGTCGCTGCTGTGGCGTCCCGCGGGCCCACGACCCCCCGGGTGACGCCCCAGCCGACCACCAGGCCCACGTCCACGAAGCGGTCGCGGGGGGGGTGAGGCTTGGCTCCAGCCACCGCCACCATGACCGGTGTGGTGCTGCTGCCATTCTAGCCTCACCCATCGCCCGCCACCGCGGCCGCGCCCCGGCGGCGGTCTACCCCCTCGCTGGCTACCGCCGCCAGTGGGGGGGCATCCGGGGGTCAAGACGGCGGTCACGTAGCAGCTGGCGGCCAAGATCGAGACGGCGAAAAGAAAAAGGGTGACGTGTTCAACGACGAGCCCGGCGGATTTTGCGGCTACCACCCGTCCGAGCTTTACACCAGCGGGCAGTGTCGTATCCAGCAGCAACTGCGGCGCGCGCGTTCGAGAGAGGGCGCCGAGGAACGCCGCTCGGGGCGTATCATGATGCAAATTTGCGGCCAGCGGGACTGTAATCCGTGCCCACGGAGCCCCACGGTACCCGCAAAATCCTAGCCGCCGCGCCCTTGGGGCTGCCGCTTGTTTGTGCTGGCGGACACGCTACTACTGTGTGTGTGTTGTGTGTGTTTTCGTCCTATTTATTATGGCGACAGTCCCCCCATTTTTCGTGGTGAGACATGTACTACATTTTTCAGCATATGTAGAGTACTACACTTTTCAGTGTATTTTTTCGTACTACAGTCATCCAAGGTCACACAGGAGGAGCCGGTCGCCCCGGTGGTCTAGTGGGTAGCCTCGCAGCCTGCGAAGGGTCAGGTCATGGGTTCAAGTCCCGGCATAGAGAGTTTTTTTCTCGCTGAATAAATCCTGGTCTAGGATGAAAGCGACGCGCTGCAAAGCTCGTTTGTTAGTAAACCATAATCGACTTCGTAAGTCGCGAGGGGAGGGATTGCTGTACCACCCTTGTCGCGATAAAATACCTCAGGCATGAACCGCAGGAGGGGGTCCAACCCTCCCCTCCCATGTGACCCCGGTTGGGTTGTCTAGCCAGTAGACGTGGAGGATAGGGGCCAGAGGGGCAGACGACAGAGTCCAGTGAAGAGAGAAAAAAAAAACACACACACACACACACAGGAGGGGGTAAACTCCAAGGCTTTTTTCTTCTTTCTATTTCTTTTCATGCCCCACATTCCTCCTGCGGTGCGTTTATTGTTTTCGCGAGAAGGGTCCAGCCGTCCCTTTCCCTCGTCAACGGTGCCAACGTCGAAGTTTGGTACTCACGAGAGCTTGTCAGCTATATTTCTCGTTCACCCGCACATTTCGTAAACTTTTCACCCCATGGGGATTCGAACTCACTACCTCTGAGACTAGCGGATTATTACGAGGATACCACTAGACCACCGGGGCGACCGGGTACAATGCACCGCACACCGTACACCACACGCCACGCACCGTCAGTGCCGTGTGAAATCGACACATAACACTGGATGCCAGCTCGCCTTCCCGCTACCTCGACGGGAGTCGACATGACCGTGCAGCCCCGCATTTTGTTGGCGGGAAAGCGTGTCTACTTACTGCTGCTGCAGCTGTCGATGTCCACACTGCAGTGGACCAGCCGGCCGCGTGATGGTCCAGTGGTTGCCTCAACAAGAACAGCAGGCCAAGGCACACAACCGGGAGTGCCGCGGCGCAGCATTTCCGCAGCATCGCAGTCTCAGGTGAAGGCTGCCTCCTGCGGGCGGACATTCACCTGCACTCACATGCTTGTTCATCTCGAGCCGCCAGCCGACATTCTCACGCGAATGAAAGACGATCACGCGGTCAGGACAAATCGAGTCGACCGCTTGTTGTATGTAGCAATGGTCCAATCGCGGTGGGAATAGTGGGTGTGCCAAGGGTTTTGCGCGGACGGTGCAGCATCATGATCATCACCCGAAATACTTCCCCCATTACAATTACCTGAAATCAAACGTGAGTGAACAAAATCATCACTCCCGATCGAACCCGCTCGCTGCCATGTACCCCACGAGAGACCTCAGCACACCCAACCACTCAGGCGATTGCGTCGCCTCCGTTAAATTACTGACGAGACATGCCCATGCCATTGCAAAGCACCGGTGACGACATGCAACCCTATTGTTTTGTGCACGGTGTGAGCGAGCTACTGTAATTAAGCAAAACAGACAAGCAAAACAAAATACACGAACGCCGTGAAAAAAAGTGCAGGACAACACAAACTACACGTAACGTGTACAGGACGAACGTGTAAACGTGTTTAAAGCTTCCTGGCATGCGCTAAAATAAGAAGAGAAGAGAACACTACTATTGCACGCCATAAAAAACAAAAATAAAAAGCTCCCTAGAAAAACGTTCTTCGTTGGCATGTACGATTGCATGGTTTGCATGCTCTACAAAAGAGCGTTCTTTGTTTCGTTTCGGGCAAAGGGAGACAGGACAAAGCATGCATGCTAACTACGTGCTTGCGGACGCGCAGCCGGGCTATGTACACGCAGACCGACACCAATCGCAGCCAGTCCCAAAGCACTCGCCCCCAGCAGTGCGTGAAAGCTCACGACGAGGTGCAAGTGAAAAAAAAAAAGAACACACACACCCCTAAGTCCGCGGCAGCTGCCAGCACGAGTTCTCCGGTCAACAACCCACAGGGGTGGCGGTTAAGGCGAAAGAGGCCCAACGCCGCTACACCCATCACCTCCCTTTTGATTGGGCCGTCGTCTTCCTATATCACACCTCGGAATTCATGCAGGCCACTTCGCCAACACACCATGCTACGAGTGACAGGTGATAAAAAAAAAGGGGAGAAGCTTTGTAGGGCTTGGGTGGCCCCCACCCCGTCACGAAAGAAGAGCTCCTCGCCCCCTTTCGTCTGCGAGCAAACGCGCAACAAGGCCGAGAACAGGCGGAGGAGAGCCCTAGAGAAAATCCCCAGCAACTAGAAAAACCGGACACAACACATTACATCCCACACAAATAATACACACGCGCGCGGGCACATCTATCGCCCCCATGGCACGCGACATTCGATTAACGAGAGGTCAACCGTCAGTTCCCGGCTCTGAAACCCACCGTCATGCGCCGCTACGCTCCTGCCACGCCGAGCCCCCCCCACATGACTCCACGTCGGTCTATCTATCTTCGCTCTCTCTTGCTCTTCCTCTCGCCCTCTCTGCCGTTCGGCGAAAAGAACGCGAGGCCGTCCAAGGTTGCTCGGAGCGCACCTCAACAGCGGCTTAAGCCTAGATGCCGCCATTCCATCGGCGTCTACACCACCGCAACCCCGAAAGACCGAATACGACGCGTCATTTCTCATCCCCCCCCCCCCCCCC